CAATTATTGCCACCATGTATGCTTTCAAATTTTATTTTATTTAATTAAACATGTAAATAAGTTTGTTAAAAAATAAAAATATGATAATAAAACCAAATAACAATATTTATAACAATAACAAGTGCACCCAAAATACATAACAAATTCGAACAATGTATACCATTATTTGTATTTCTTCTTATTGACATTTAAGAAGGTATTTTTTTTGCACCACGTATTTATGCACAAACACACGCACACACACACACACGCACACGCACGCACACACACACAAGTAGTAGTAGTAGTAGAAGTAGTAGTAGCTTGAGTAGCTTGTTTACTGTCAGATGCCGACAAAATAAATCATGTGACCAAGTGACGCAAATTCATTCTATTTACGCCACTTTATTGCTTCAGTTCATTTCTCTATATGTGACTTATACAACCGTAACGTCATACAATACTTATATAATAATAATGGCATACATTTATGTATGCTTGCATGTGTGTGTGTGTGTGTGTGTGTGTGTGTGTGTGTGTCTGTGTTTGCCTTTAAGTATGTGTGTGTGTGTTTGTTCATATTATTAGCTATTATGTAGAGTTGTATGTTTTTATAAGTATAAATATATATATATATATAAATATATATATATTTAGGAACGAGGTTTTCAGAAATGCAAATTTCATTGAAATTGTTTGCCCATTTTGCATTAATTAACTTCTTTATAAGACATTCAACGAGGCGGTATTGTTTGAGTTCATATTTATCTAAAACTGGAATAAAGCTAACAGCGCTGTTTCGGCGTAATGCCATCTTCAGAGCCTAAATATTGTTTAAACATATAATTTAATTAAAGTAAATGCCTAATGTAAAATGTGAAAATATAGAAAATAAAATATGTATTAAATTGTGAAATAAATTAACCTTGTTGTAAATATCATAATAACTAAAGTTTATGTAGATTATATAAATAAAATAATGTAATTTAAATAAAATGTTTAGTAAAATAATTAAAATATAGAAATTTTATAAAAGTTTTAACATGGTTGAGAAATGTTAGTGAAAACTAATTACGAATGACATGTGCGCCAGATATATAATATTGCTGTGTATGCGTTGTGAATACAACTTATTGCGGTTGAATATGT